GGCAATCGGAGCAGTTTATTTTCTAAAGAGCACCTTGTCGTTCGTTGTGTTGTTCTTTGTCTTTTATGTTCATTAGTACTTGTCGTAACGTTGTGATTGGTTTATGTGCGACACGTATGTTGTATGGTCGTAAGATACGCGAGATAGTCTCAGACGTACCTTTGATGTAAGGTATCGTTGCTGTTGTCACTGCGTTGCTCGTTTCGTTGGGCTCGTTGGGTTTGTAACTATTGCGTTTGATAAAGTCAGAGTTATTTTGTTATGCTCATGTGGTTGCAATGTGATATATCTTTAAACAACTCTTGCATTAAAAAGAGAGGGTTGCTGGTTACCTTGCTTAGTCATACCATACGACGTGCCCATGTTTTATTATGTTTGTTTTAAAATCTTTTTGTTGGTGACCATAAACTTTCGGCATGTATTTTGTAAGTCGCATTATCAGCGCCTTCTTTTTAGTGTTATTTTTTGTAGCTCTGTCAACTGTGCAATAGTGCAAACTCAACTAACTTTTATTTTGTCACAAAAAGATATTGCCTGCCCTGAATTAATGTTGACATTCATGTTACCCCCCTAGTAGCAGAATTTTTCTTTGAGCTATAGTAAATGTGTTCGAAGAGATTGAACTGCGTTAGAATTTTAATGTTTTGAATAAATCAGTGCCATTATAGCTTACAAAGGAAGCTAATAACAGGCTCATTGATAACTTTATGAATCACCAATTTTAGTTCAATCAACTATACCACATATTTTGTTTTTTGCTAGTATATGCAACTAATACTCATGCAGGAGTAAGAAATTTTTGTTTCAAGTAGTTTTTTCCGACGTTAGATTCTTTTTGTGAAGAGAATAGGCTTATATAAAACAGGTTTTTCATAATAACTAACACGTGTTTTAATGATTATTGTTTTAGTTTGTTAAAACATTCACAAATTTAAAAATATGTCATTTTTCTATTGACATCTTTTGAATGAAGTCTGGGAAACAAATTCTAGCATCGTCTTGCAAACTTACACAGCATCATCTATGGCACAAAATCTGAAATTTTAATTTGTGTAAACATAATTAAGACTTATTATTGATCGCATTAAACAATTTGCTTCTACTATAAAATAGTGGTATCTTAGTATTTTTAACTGTATCTAATGATCGTATATGATGCTGGGATAGAACAAATAGAAAACGCCACTCGAAGCTTCATTCAAAATTTAAGGGATGCATGAAGTATGAAACACAAGCACGTATAATAAAACGTACAGGTATAATTGTACATTATAATTACCTGTTTCAAAACAAATCATGTAAGTTTTAATCATCTATATTTGTCTTTTTTCTATAATTGTAATATTAATCGAGGTGAGTGAAAACAAATTTACATCAAACCATCTCGTCAATCTCAAAGAGTCAACTGTTAAAAGATCAGTTATATTCATTGTATTTAAAATGTAAAAGTTTGTTTTTATCAAATAAAATCTTGTTAGAAACAAAAAGAAGCATCTTGATCAAGTCCTAATAAAGATTTTCATTTTCTTATAAATTCGTTGTCAATGATAGTTTTAACCGTTATTCTTATATTTTTAGTGAGCGCAAGGAAAGGGTGGCATAGAATCAATAATAAAGAGGGGGTTGCATTTATAAATTAGTACATATGCTATTATCAGTAATGATGGCTGATACTTTTTAAAAAAGAACGTGCTTTATTATTTGAATATTTCCGTTAAATATCAATCGACCAAATTCTTTTCCACTTTTGCTCATACTCTATAAACTGTACAAAGCCCATATTCATGTCTAGGATAGATTTCTGTTGTAAAAAGTACATGAAAATATACCTTAAATCTATGTGTTGATGTGATGCCATTACCATGCGAGTATAAAAATAATAAGGATAAGATGAGATAAAAAAACGTCACAGCTGATTGGTTGCATATAAGTCTGTTCTAATGGCTTATTTATAGGCTGGGGGTAACCCAAATACAAAATGTCAAAAACATTTACTTTGACCATAGCATAGTATCCAATTGCCTTGGCAACTTATCAATATTTCAAAACGACAAATATTACAGAAAACAACGTCTAATAATTAAAAGTTGGAACCAAAACCCAATAAACAGAGCAAAAGAATGAAGATTCTATACACTTTGTAATAATTATAAACACAGAATATATATTAGTCATTTATTCAGACATATTTAATTGTATACATATTTATGATGAATATTATACGAATATTACTTATGCTTGTTTAAAAATACTGTTGTTGCATGTTATGTAAGTATTACATGGGGGTGCGTAAAAATATTGTGTTAAAATAATTGTTTTAAAAAACAGCGAAGAAGTTGGTTTTGAGTAAGTTACATTAATCACTACTAAATACACCTAGGCACCACAAACAACAACAGCACCAAAATGTAACTGCTATGATGCCTCCGACTACTCCACCAACGATCTCAGCAATTTCTATATAAGGTACAACATTTATTAAAAACAAATACTCAGATAAATACAAAATTTAAAGGTATTGAAATACAACAAGTTAAAATATTTATAATTATAAACAAGTTTTAATACTTTTTACAGATTATTGTAGCTCTATATTTTGTTTGTTTCGCATGAAAAATTTTTGCACATGTATCTAAATGCCATTTGAAATTTAAAGTTTAATCCCTGAATTTAAATGACAAAAAAAAATGGAAAACGGTTGTAACATAAGAAAAAAAAATTTAGGCCGTCAACAAATGTGCACATAAAAGCAACTTTCGCTTTACATATCTAAAAGGCACGTAATCAATATATTGGCGGACCTAGCCTGTTCACTTACCTCCCTCATTTATAAATACTCAAAATTGATATGAATATATTAATGATAATTTAAGATCAAAATTTTATCTGAAATTTAAGGGAAGCTTAGTACAGAATTTTGCCCAATATCATTAATCAATATTTATCAGTCAAAAACAATGAAAAATAAGGCACTAAACTCAAATACTTTCTCAAGATAAACTTTCTATTTTCCAGACGGCTTACGGACTTCATCAAAATAGTATGTAAATAGGTCAGTTTATCAGATTATCACATTCCAGATTAAAGTAAGTTTACTAAGAATACATTGTACTTTTATGAAGAATTAAAAATCGAATAGAAATTTGGCACCAGAGCTATTTTTTCATGAATAAATCATTGCTAGAATTAAAACAAAATGTTTTACCACAGATTTTCATCAGCGTGGCAATTTAAAGATGTGTATAGTAATTGCGTACAATTATAATTGTGTATGCTTGTCAAGTACTTTCTAATTTCTGAATTTTTTAATTTAATCACTTACTATTTGAAATGAGTTTGATAATCTTTAAGACAAATTGAACTTACTTGTTTGTCCATTGTTAGTGTTGTCTGTATTGACATTTGTACTTGTTGGAATAACTAAAAAAGCAAAAGGTAAAGTTTCGCGTTTCACGGAATAAAAATCAAGTGAATGTCAAAAATCGATATTTAAAATGAAGGTTTAGGGACAAATATATTACATAGTGTACTAAAAAAGTGGCCATGAGCCGCCGGGGCGTGTGATTTTAACACTTTTTGTTTTTATTACAAATGACATCTTACCCGTGTATCTCTAACTGTAAAGACAACGGCTAAACGCCATCTGTTTGTTTTATGTAATAAAATCAAAAAAAAATTTCCAAATTAAACGGTCAAACAGTTTGCTTTCTTTGTCCCTTAACACTTGGAACATTAAAAAGTTTTGATTTTGCAAATATCACGCTTACGTGATCTGCAGGATCGAAGAAATGCTGTTGGCTAGCTTAACCACATGATAAAATGTGATTGGATAAAAAAACAAGCAATGGCTGATTAATTTTTTCGAAATTTTGTTATTGAAGACGAAGTACAAATTAATTTTCGAAAACTAGGTTTTTTCTCTTTTTTTTTCTCAAATACTTTAACTGCCTCAACTAGGTCTTTGTGAATACCTTTATTTTCCTATTCAGGAACGTATTGTGACAATTTTATAAACATAAAATTTATTGTAAGGTCAATTCCGTGCGTATGTCGTCTTATAGATCATAGCTCTTGACCAATGAAATTGCTTAAATTCTTCTTGTTATTTTATATTAAATGTTAGTATATATTTAAGCTTTTTATAGCTCAAAATGATTTTATGTTTTTATATCACAAAAATAATTAATAAATTAATTTTAGCAGCTTATCCTCTCTGTGCGAGTTGTCCAAAATGAAATTAAGGCTAACCATAAAGTGAAAATTTAATCCTAGGTTGATGTGCGCTGTTCGAAGCTCAGTTAGTGTTATCTTTCGGTTGAAGAAATATGACATTAAACTTTCCCTTCATGCAATATAGGTTGAACCATATAATTAAAATAATATGTAAGTTTCATAAATAAAACAACTACTTGCAGAGCTTAGTCTTTCACTATAGTTTTGTAGACTAAGTATTGACATTTTTCCTGACAATACGGATGAGAAAAAGATTTGGCAAAAAAGAAAATAAATACAACAGAAATCTGCTTGAAAATTAAACAACGGATAAATAGCTAAGCTTGCGCTTGGGACAACTGCAAGTCGTAATTTCTCATTGGTTGATCTATAGTGTAAGTCATCCTTTTGTCTCTTTGTTGGTTGTGTTGAGTGAACTCACACAGTAAATTAACCTTTATCATTTACACGTTCTTCTAAGTAAGAAAAATTGTAGAAACTCGGGACTATTTAAAGCAGCATTTAAACCTGCTTTAAACAACACAAATTAGTTAATCTTAGATTGATGAACTTATCAAGAGATTTGTTTTTAACTCCAGGCGTGGTCATACAAAGATAGACAACTCATATACATGTATTCATATTAGAATAATTTTAAAAAATGGATTTAAAAAGAATATAACGAATATATTAATATTCCCCTCCCGGTATATAAATCTTCCCATGTCCATAACTCTATATGTATACATACATACATTTAATTTTTGCACAACACAAAAAGTGAAAGTTTAACCTTTTCTTCTAGAGTAGAAAATTGTAAACGCATCGCCATTTCTTGAATTATCAGAGGTGAACTTGACATAGAAGTAGCGTCCAGATGACGTCAAATCAATATTACCAGCACAATACTTTCCAAGACTTCTGGAAAACTCGGAATAGCCGTCAAATATTTCAATTGAATCACATGAGCAAAATGGACAACTTTCTAATTTTAGTGACGACGCGGTGAGGTGAATTACGTAATTTGATGACGAAGAATCTAGACGCCAACATCGTGAAGTACGATTTGGATATTTGAAAGGATAATTTGGACTGTTGAATCTTCCGTTATAGCCAAGACTTGTTGAAAAAGAACAACGTTCTATAATCAGTAGTCAAAACGTAAGAAATTCAAAATAGATATGCACAACGCTGTGGCCATCGTATTTATTCTATTGATTACTCATCAAAGTTGACTTTTTGTTCACACAACGACATCTTCATGCACAAGACGTTACTTAACGGTAAAAAACCAGCTTTATTCCCGTTTGCTCTTTAGCGAGAATTTAGTTTAAAAACTTGATAAGATTTATAGTTTTACTGGACTTTTTCCTGACAATAAAAGAATATTTTCTAAACAATTGTAATGATTCCCATACATTGGATGCATGTAATTATTGATTAAATTATCTGTGTTATGCTGATTTGTTTTTTTGTATATCCATGCCAAAGCAGCAATCTCTGTGCAAACTATCATTAAAGATGCTAAGTAACAGAGAATATAGGTCAATAAGCAGCAATGCTTCTGATGCAAGTGATGTTAATAAAAAGGCCAGGCAAAATAGAGTATTAAATTAGGTAATGTTTAAAAAAATCTCCTCAAGATAATTAGTGGAATGAATTTAATTCAAATCGACCTTTAGTGCGCAAAGTTGCCTAGAAGCAGCAATAGCAAAAATACTGAATTTTGGCTATAGAAAAGAAACAAGCATTTTTGATTCATAACACATTAAGGTTAAACGATTAATGCACGAAAATGGCTTTAAAGAAGTAAAACAATGATATAAACAATTTCTTAATAACACTTGTTACACAGCAGACAACTAACTTTAGGTTTAGGTGTGTTGTTTTTAGTTGTAATATGTGGGTGTCAATTATGTATTGGCATTATGGATTAGTGTAAAGGGCAATGTTTTTTGTTTATCGTTTTTTGTATTGCGAATAATTCGTTTGTAAGGTGCAGGTACTTGCTGTGATCTGTTCAGGGGGATTTGTTCCAAGTTGGTATACCAACTTTGTAATGTAAGCCGTTGTCTATGGTCAGTACTGTAAGTAATATATTTTGCCGAGTTCCAGTCAATATTGTGCTTTGTGATTAGGTGATGTTCGGCAATGTGATTAGTTTTATATCGTTTCGTAGTAGCTCATTTGTGTTCAGTAAGTTTATGTTTAAGTTCCTGACAGTTTCCCCGATATAACAGGTGTGGCAGTCGATGCATTTTATTTTGTAAACTGCACCTTGTCGTTTGTTGGGTTGTTCTTAGTCCTTTTTGTTCGTTAGTACTTGTCGTAAAGTTGTGATTTGTTTATGTGCGACACGTATGTTGTATGGTCGTAAGTTACGCGAGATATTCTCATACGTACTTTTGATTCAAGGCATCGTTGCTGTTGTCACTGTGTTGCTCGTTTCGTTGTGTTCGTTGGATTTGTAACTATTGCGTTTGATAAAGTCAGAGTTGTAGTTGTTTTTGTCAAAAAAACACGTTTTAGATAGTTCCTTTCGATGTGTAGAGCGACTGGTGAATCACATATGATTTATGCACGTCTTGTTAATGTTCTGATTGTGGTGGCTTTGTGTGATGTAGAGTTGTAAGATGACTGGTCTAGTAGTCGTCAGTATGTGCTGGCTTGCATTAAGCTGTTGTTTGTACTTTTTGATTGTCTTGTTTCACCAAACAATCGAGAAAAGGAAGAGTTCGGCTTTCTTCAACATCTTTGGTAAATTATATGTGGCTGTTTTGTTTGTTTATATGAGTGTGAAAGTCACTGCACTCGTCTGCACGTAGGGCGGTGATTGTGTCATCTACGTTGCGGAACCAAAAATGTAGTACATGTTTGTAAGCCGTGAGCGCCCGTTCCTCTATAAATTCATTACAGTTTCAGCAACTACAACAGAAACGGGTGAGCTCATTGCTGCTGCACGTAATTATTTTAAGTGCGTACATTTCTACTGAATGTAAGTCGAGGTGAGGCTAATCACCAGCAGCTCCATATTGTCTTCTGTGAGTAATGGAAGTACCTCCGTGGTGTTTATAATGAGGGTTTTTGTACAAGTAAGTGCTTGATTAAATGGAACACTGGTGAACAGTAATTTCCCATCAAAAGGCAGTAGTATATAGTTGTCCGGTATTTGTATAGTGCTTAGTTTTTTAATGAAAATTTCAGTGGATTGTATCTTGTGTTTTGATTGGCTTGTAAATTGTTGCAGTATGTCAGTCAAGTATATTGTGGGCTCCTAAATAGGTGAAACAAAGAATGATACAACTGATCACATTGGTATTTGTGGCTTTTGAAGTTTTGGCAGTCAGTTTACTCTGTGTGGTCGTGGTACTGAACATTAAAGTCGATAGTAAATATTGTCAGATATAATATTAGATTTTCCCATAGAATATCTTGCTGTTAAGTTTGCGTACTAGTGATGGCGTTAGGTCTGGTTTGAGTTGTTTGTACGTGCGACTTATTCACAATACAAACAAATGATCAACAAAAATAATTACACCTTACACTAATCCACAATGACAATACACAATTGACACCCACACTTTTCCTGAACACATAATACATTGACGTAAGAACCAGATAAAAAATGCAGCTAACGTGACGTTTACTCCTCATTTCACTCTGAACATGACTACCGCTAAGTTTGTCGAAACGTCAGTCAACAACAACAAAACAGTCCTTCACTGGACTTTACTAACCTGAACGATCTACATCTACAAACATGTAACGATACTCCCGGGCTCAAACCATTTACTTTGTAACTATTTTTGTTGCTGTGTTTCCACTCTCTGTATCTGAACACTGTGTTAAGTCAGCTAAGTCAGCTTGCTTACTTGTTCCAATGTCATTGTATTAAAGTAATATTGCACATCTAAGTGAAACTTTTCTTTTTTAACTGTTGTAATAATTGAAAATCTACACGTACCTGACATCACACCAAGGCCAAAATTGATCAAAAGGGCGACAACTAAAAGGGACGCAAATAAGCTCGCTTAAAGTTACCTATTTTTGAATTATAGTATAAAAAATTTTTAATATATACTGTTCTGGTTTTTATAGTTGACGTTGGCCATCAAACTTTTCTTCAAAGTTTCATATTGGTTGTTAGAAGTAAGGAATACGATGAACACTACATCATAATCACTTTGCCTATTTGAATATAGCGTCAAATTTACGTTCAAATACTAAGCTTTTCTGCAAATAAAAATTTCTTATGTAAATATGTCTAATTTCAAAAAATTCGTCGTTTGCATTTAATTTACATTAGCAATAATGCTTGCACAAATGTACTGAAATATTTGTACAAAAAAATCCTTTTATCATATCTCAAAGTGAGAACTATTGTAGAAAATTCCTGGGATTGCAACTGACTGTAATTTTTTCGCAAAAGAGACATTGCTTGTATAGAAACAAATGCAAATAAAAAGAATTTGGTGTGGTCAAAACAATAACACAACTTAGGTAATTCTAAAGTTGTTGAATTAAGTAAAAGACATTATGCATTTTAGCATGCAACTGACGTGTACTCCAATGACATTTATTACGTCACTTTATCATCAAAATGAAACTGCTTGACGATATCTATGTCCATTAGTACAGAATGAGGTTTAGTAATTATGTTTGATACATCTCACTTTGTCCAATTATACGTAGTTGGACGCCATTGCTTTATCTGGTAGTAAAATTTTCACAAATAATAAGCATTTTTCAAATGAGAATCGTGTTAAATAGATAAAGTTTAAAAATTGCTTGCGTAGGAAACAACGAAGCTAAAAAAAGTAATTAGATTACATAGGCACAGAATAAAAATATACAGAAGGGTCATTTGTGTTCGAAACGTTGATATTTTTGTCCTTGCGCATGTCGTGACGCTCATAGTGGCCGTCATTATTCGGACTAGGCTTTTTACTTTTTCTCAACCTTTAATATGATCAGAAGCTACTTCTTAAGTCAAAATACTCTCTAATTCAATAATGAGAATTGGGGACATGTAGTTTTGATGTTTGGAATCAACTAGCTGAAATAATAACTGACGTGAGTTCGCTTTGAACATCCGAGTAACCTTTCTGTATGATCATTATTCTGTGATATAGGGTTGAAATATGGCACAAGTTGTTAAAGCATACAAAATTCTGGAAAATTATGCCAGACAAGCATGAACAATAGGCATGCAAAATTGCGTTATATTTTGCGTTCTATTATTTTTCTCCCTTTCTTCAGACCATTACCAATTATTCATAATTAAATGAATTTAAGTTCTAGTTTTATGTATGGTAGATGAGAATTATAACAAGATGAAATTTAAAAACAAAAAATTCAAAACAATCTGCAACTCGAAAAGTGTTTGCGTACGCATAAGCCAAACGGCCTCAAAAATTTTTTAGCTATTCGTTTTAGTTTTTCTTTCGATATTTTTTGCTGTTTCCTGGAACTTGCCTTATGTTACAAGGAAAAGACCATTGATGCATATAATCTGGTTGATATAAAGAAATATTTATTTCTAAATTTGAAGTTACTTGAATGAATTGTGAAAAACATGATCAAACTCTGCCGAAAGTTTTAAAAGAAAGTTGCTCACTATAATTTCCTATTGAAACCTTTTTAATCAAGACAACATGACACAAGGACGTTGAATTCTTAAGCAAATAATACTAACGTGCCAGTAAAGTAATTGCGCATGTTGTGACGCTCATAGTGGCCGTCATTATTCTGATTAGGCTTTTGACTCTTTCTCAACCTTTAATATAATCAGAAGCTACTTCTTACGTCAAAATATTCTCTAATTCATTATTGAGAATTGGGGTCATGTAATTTTGATGTTTGGAATCAACTAGCTGGAATAATAACTGACGGGAGTTCGCTTTGAACATCCGAGTCACCTTTCTGTATAATCATTATTCTGTGATATAGGGTTGAAATATGGCACAAGTTGTTAAAGCTTACAAAATTCTGGAAGATTTTGCCAGACAAGCCTGAACAATAGGCATCCAAATTTGCGTATTATTTTGCGTTCTACCATTTTTCTCCCTTTTCTTCAGACCATTACCAATTATTCATAATTAAATGAATTTAAGTTCTAGCTTTATGTATGATAGATGAGAATTATAACAAGATGAAATTTAAAACAAAAATTCAGAACAATCTGCAACTCGGAAAGTGTTTGCGTACGCATAAGGCAAAAGGCCTCAAAATTTTTATCTTGAGAAACATATTTCAACCCTATGAATTACCCTATGTGTTTTAACTGCTTTTTATCTGCGTCATTCTTGCGTTCACACAATTTAAAAGGTGGTTCTTGGTAAAAAAACGTTTATTCTAAAAACGATTATTACTTGCAAAAATGTGTACACCTCTCTCCAAGCTTTTAAGTTAATAGATATTGAATAAATATTAGATTGCGAATCTCTCCATACGAAATTTTAAAAATGAGGCATCGTTATCTTCTGCTAAATGTCCGGATTCACTACTGCGTAATAATCTACTACAAGCTTTTTAAGAAAATTTAACTTACAACAATTGCGAAAAAGTTCTAAAGATGTGCGTAAAAAGTATAAACAAATCGTTCTTTATAACATCACTACATGAAGTTTACATGTATACCGCTCAATATTTTCTATTGCATAATGATTATGTCATGCAGTTTACGTCTACGACATGTTGAGTTTCTTGTTCTTTTTTTTCCTATTGGCAAATGTTATATCTCTTTTACGTAGATTGTGTAATCAAATAATCACTATCGACTTTCAGCAACAAAATATTTTTTGCAACCAGTGGCAATTATAATTTTTTTTAACTTTAACCTTTTTCGTATTTAACATAGCAATATAAAATAGCTAATCAAATAAAGGGAAAGACTTTATATTGGCTTTAAAAATGTGACTATTATTGAAGTTTATAGCAAGCAAAAAGCAAGTGCTCAATAAGTATAGACTTACCAGTTAAAACAGGCATGCTTGCTGTATGTTATTTTCTAAGTTGCAATTGAAAACCCTTTCGCTTTATACATGAGATGTTTCTCCGATCAAATAATGAAACCAAATAAAAGTTTGTTGTTGTATTGCAACCAATTGTTTAGGTCGTTTCGTGATGTTTGATTGGTTATCGATAAGAATTTCAAATTTCTTTGTAATTAAAATTAATTTTTTTTTAATAATTTGTGTTCATAAATTATAATACCTCGCATGTACGCTAAATAACACTTGTAAAAAGTTTATATCTTTATTATTAGTACACTTAAGTGGCCATTGTACAATAAGTGTGTATTCTCAAATGTGAATATCTTAAATCCATGATCATGTATACAAATTACAATAAATTCTGACTTTGAAAAGACACGACAAGAATGTTTCATCTACTTTAAATTCAAAACATGCTGTGTTCGTTTTAGTTTTCTTTTCGATATTTTCTGCTGTTTCCTGGAGCTTGCCTTATGTTACAAGGAAAAGACTATTGATGCATATCATCTGCATGATATTAAGAAACATTTATGTCTAAATTTGAAGTTACTTGAATGAATTGTGAAAAACATGATCAAACTCTGCCAAAAGTTTTAAAAGAAAGTTGCTCGCTATAATTTCCTATTAAAACCTTTTTCATACAGACATCATGACACAATGACGTTGTATATTAAGTGGCTAATACTAACTTGCCAGTAAAGTAATTGACATGACAACTTATGTACATATTGTCCAAAAAGTCATAGTGTTCTTTTCTGTTGCCACTCAACATCTTTGTATTCTTAAGCACCTGAAATTGCATGTATTTCTTTTAGCATTTAGTTGCTTGCACTGTCATGTCACTCACATGTGCTTTAGCATTTTTATACTGTACAATTAAGTATTTTATTCTACATTCAAGTGTGAAAAAAAGTAAATCCGTCATCATGATTAAAGAAATCTGACAATGTAAAGAAATGACTAGAATCTTTTGTGTAGTTTCAAATTCAAAACATGCTGTGTTCGTTTTAGTTTTTCTTTCGATGTTTTTTGCTGTTTCCTGGAACTTGCCTTATGTTACAAGGAAAAGACTATTGATGCATATCATGCGGATGATATTAAGAAACATTTATGTCTAAATTGGAAGTTACTTGAATGAATTGTGAAAAACATGATCAAACTCTGCCAAAAGTTTTAAAAGAAAGTTGCTCGCTATAATTTCCTATTAAAACCTTTTTAATACAGACAACATGACACAAGACGTTGTATACTTAAGCGGCTAGTACTAACTTGCCAGTAAAGTAATTGACATGATAACTTAAGTATATATTGTCCAAAAAGTCATAGCGTTCTTTTCTGTTGTCACTCAACATCTTTGTATTCTTAAGCACCTGAAGTTGCATTTATTTTTTTTAGCATTTAGTTGCTTGCACTGTCATGTCACTCACATATTCTTTAGCGTTTTTATACTGGACAATTAAGTATTTTATTCTACATTGAAGTCTTTTGTCACAAGTGTGAATAAAAGTAAATCCGTCATCATGTATATTGAATTCTGACAATGTAAAGAAGTGACTAGAATCTTTTGTGCAGCTTCAAATTCAAAACATGCTGTGATTGTTTTAGTTTTTCTTTCGATATTTGTTGCTGTTTCCTGGAACTCGCCTTATGTTATAAGAAAAATACTATTGACGCATATCATTTGCATGAATAAACACACACACGTTTGCCTTTTTATACAAGACGTGCTGTACGTGTTTCATTTTTTCCTTTAATGGCTTTTCGCTATTTTCTGGAACTTCACTTATTTTGCAAGAAACACGATACTGATGCTTCTCATTTGAATAATATAGCAAAACGTTTATGTATTTTTGTGCCAGAAAATTGAAAGATACCCGGTCGAAAGGCAAAAATTGATCAATCACTGCCAAAAATTACCTTCGTTTGCAAAATTAAATAACTTTCATGTGTTTTAGCTTTCGTATAGCTGCTTTAGTACCGGATTTCTACCATCCACGTTTTTCTTGCTATCAAAAATTTATTGCTATTAAACACTTCCTTTCAGTAATAGCAATTCACTTTGCCCGTTAAAATCTTAAACAAAATAGATTTGTCACTACGACAAGTCTTTTAGTTCATTCGATCATATTTTCGAAAAAATTGTTTTGTTGCCGTTGGCCTTCAGTGAAGCAAACAGATATAAAGATGCTAACTCTTTTGAGACGCAGAGAGAAAAGCAATTAAAAAACGGGGACTTTCTATAAAAATGAAGTAAACCTAAAAAATTACCATGTAACTACTATGGAGAATAATTTGGTGAAATATTGGCTTGCTTTAGTGCTCTTTTAACTACTTCAAATCACTACAACAATCTTCAAGTCCGTAGCTATAAAGTTAATTGGGAGTGAGCAATGATATGCATATTACATGGATCGTTTATTCCTTATAATGGGAGTGCATAAATTTAAAGCCAGAAGTAGACAGCTAGTTAGATACGGCGGTATACATTCTCACTTATAAGAATAATATATTGTAAAGAACCCCGTAAGCAATGAGTTTAAAGCACATTGTACCTCAATCATTAAAAAATATTTCAAAGTTAAGAAAGAAATATTGTCCTAGGATTGTATACCGCACTGAATGATGTCACACAAATTTTGGAATTAATCCTTTTTTAATAATACAGCATTGATATAAAGATATGTGTTTAGATGATAGCTATTTACAGCATTTTTTTGTTTCTTTTGATGGACACGATGAAACATATGGACCAGAACCAAAAATATGTGTCTTATTGTCTATAGATAGCATAATATACCTGATTTTGCCATACGTTCCAGCTGAAATCTACTTTGTTTTATGTGGTGAATTTTTATGTGACATTTATTGCGTAAAAATCGATCGAACATTTTATTCTCAATAATGAGTAACTGTACTGGATCCAATCAATTACTGCAGCTTTTGTTTATTTGCTTCCATGTAGAGGTTCAAAAGTTAAAACTTTGTAGGTTCGAGAGAAAATTTTAAATTGATAGCGTATCTAGAGGCCACGCTGGTCAAAATTTCCCAAAATTTGTGCAATTAAAAATTCAACACCATCATTTCAAATTTCAAAACAGTTTACAGATTTAATTCTATTTATTGCGGATTTTGGGCTGATAACTCAAATCTTGTTTTAACACTTTTGATTTAATCCTCTATTTAACTCAAAATCTGCATATAGTTAGCAGTTGCGTAATAACAATGTGCCGGTTTCTAGCTTTTCACAAGTTAGTTGGGCTCCCAAAATTCAGCCAGGCGATACAACATATTTTACAAAGAAAATATTCGTAATCCAATTGGTTAATGACGTCTGAGCATGCCCAAATACTCCGATTTGGTTCATCTAATCACGCTCAATTTATACAGCCCGACTTAAACCTTCGACATTAAAAATCGTTCAATCAACAAAGAGAAAGTATGAGTTATATAAATATTAAACATCGCGATTAGAAATGGCTTATTCCAAAAAGTAACGTCTTCGGCAGCCAGTGAACTGTCGGCAGCAAAAGACGATATACTAGTGGATCTTTTAAAGAAACTTTTCTCTGTTCGACAATCTGAAGAAGAAAATATTATTGTAAACCAGCGACCAACCTGATTATTCGTATGAACAAAGGTACTGATGTCATAGAAAGGCAGCTTACTTTTATAGTTGCTAGTTCTGATGCAACTACAAATGCTATATCTGCATTGATTAAAGATAACTTAACTCAACAGGACAATATTAGAATGAAGCTTATATGACAAACATATGACGAAGCCTCTGTTATTTCTGTACATTTAAACGATGTTCAAGCTAAAATACAACAAGAATATCCTTCTGCCCTTTTGTTCATTGCTTTGCTCATAGGCTAAATCTTGTGTTGTGTAAAGTTGTTTCTTCTATTTCACCTGTAAAAGTGCTTTTTGCTAATGTTGGTGCTTTTTGTACTTTTACTAGCGACTCTTCAAAGAGAAAGCAATACTTTCATCACAAAATCTTGGGTTTCTAACCCTGGAGACACACAATGGTACTATAGGGCCCGTGTTGACAATGTTCTGCACTGTAGCTATATAAGAGACTTATAGAAATCTTTGAAGGTCTTAGTAACTGTCTAACGTAATAGCCGATGAATAAATAAGATTAGCAGTAGGGTAGCCATCGGCAGATTAACACTCCCACTATGCAAATTTTAAAGCATTCCATTATTCATTTCTTTACAAATCTATTGTTCTCACAGTCAGTAACCCAAAAATATTTGCATATCTGAAGTAAAAATCGGGCTGCTTGCGCTACTAAAGATTGGCAACTGGCTTACATGATTACCTAAGTCTTGCTTTGTTTTTAGTGTGTATTTTTGAAGTAATTTTTGAGCAGTCAACAACTCTGTACTCTGTTTTGCATGATAAAGAAACTGACTTTGAATATGGAATAATTAAAGCTGAGAAATTTAAGACTTTTGCGATTAGTCTAAGAAGTAAATTTAAGTAAATAGAGCTTCTTAATGCAGCTGTTTACAAAGTGGGCACTCCATCTATTAGATATGATAGAAGGCAAAACTATGAGCAAATGTATTTTGAAGCTCTTGATTAATTTGCAGGTATGCTAACTGAATTTTTTCAGGACGTGAAACGTTTTACATTTTTATACCTTGTAAACCCAAGAGTTCTTATGAAATGGAAAGGTGAAGCACTTTCAGAAAAACTTAATCTACTAAAGGAGATGTATGATGATCCGTTTGATATACCAATGCTTGTCAGCCCACTTTGGTTTTTGTTCAGGGATAAAGATTTTCAAAAAATTTCTTGTGCAGAATTACTTAAACATATTTTTAAGTTCCATCTTTAATCTAGTATTAGTGAAGTCATAAAGTTGATGAAGATGAATGGTGTTTTGTCAGTTACAAAAGCTTCCGTTGAAAGATTATTCCCTTGTTTAAAAAGAGTGAAGAGTTATTTAAAAAATATCATGAGCCTTATTCTAATCATGCTTTCTTTCTCGTCTCTCCTGTATTGTACGGGTTGGCATTAACTTTTCTAGTTTTCGTCAGTGAAAAAAATCGTT